TAGCATCTACCTGAGTGATATGCCCTGCTTCCTAGGCTCAGCATCTTGTCACTTAGGAAAATTGCTTCTGCCCAGCTCAAAGCACTGCTTAATAAAGTAAGCTTGGAAAAACTTCCTTGCTTAACAGTGTCCTTGTGCTCTGGGTCTATTAATTCTCTTCCTCCAGCTGATCAGTTTTCCTACAGATTAATTTACCTCGTCACTCTAAGGGATCAAGGATCACAACATATAAATAGTTATTTTTCTTTCAACCCCAAAGGTATGTTGTGAGGATTAATGAGATGATACTTAAAATTGCATTTTGAGCTCCTTGGTTGAAAGACACTTTGTAAATGCAAGATATTAGTTTTCTGTTGAGGTCCATTCATCACTTACAAATGGTCAAGCATTCTAGATGCCCCTTGGGTAGCACACTTCCCTCCCTGACTCTAAGAGAGATGTTCTGGGCCAGCACTAAGAATGCAGCCCAAGCCAAGCTCAGAGAGCTTTTCCAGATCCTTTTCTTTAGTGTCATTTGTTTACTCTGAAACTCACAAAATGTTCTCTAGGAATAGAGTCATGGCAAAAACCTCTGAACTACCCTACTAGTTGAGGATACTCCCATTAATTTTTCTTTTTTATTTTTGCCGCTAGCTCTAGTACATAGTATTCAGTCTCTGACTGTTCATTAGACCCACTCTTTCATTTTTTAATGTCTCCAGAGCAATAAAGAAAAGTTTCCCTTCCTTTATTCCAGGGCTCAAAACAAAATGCAAAAATATCTCTGGCATTAATTGCACACAGGTGAATGTTGTTCCGATAGTCCTCTATTAGCATACCCACATGCTTGACAACATTTCAGGCGGTATTAATAGAATACCTGCCAAAAAACTTTTCTTGCTAGCCAAGTACAAATTGCCAGGACCTTTAAGCGACTTTTCCTCCACTTAGCAGTAATATATCATCATTAACTGCGGCTGGACCAAAAAATCACATTTGTCAATGCCTGAATTGTTCTTTTACTTTCAGTGATTTTCAAAATCCACTTCGTTTTGGAAGTGATTTAGCTGGGTATATTTTAGAAGATACAGAAATATAAAAATCAGCAGCCGATGATTTAGAGAATATGTAGGATACCTTATTTTCCATGGTCAGTTGGTCTCCGCAAGATAAGTTTTGTGAGGTCAACTAAGACATAGTCATCTTTTGAGATGGTCTAACCAATGTGCTTCATTTTGATCGTTCCAAGAGTTGAATCATATTAGTATTAATAATGTAAATGTATTGAATGCTTTTCATATCTCAGGCTTTATGTATACCCTATCTCCTATTATTGTAAACCAAATCTTATGATGAATTTGAGAATTGAGAAATCAGGACTGAATGACTTTCCCAAGGTCACACAACCAGTAAATGGTAAACCTCAAAGCCAGATTTGCTTCCAAATCTGCCTTATCTTTGCTATATTAATTATGGCTTTAAGAAAATCAGTATGACTTATAATGAAGTGGCTCGTGTGTGGTTTGGACCAATAGAGTATAAGAATAATGTCATACATGTTATTTTCTGTTCCATACAAGGGTTTCCACCATCTTTCAGTTCTTCACTTGAAAGAACTTTCATTCTTTGGGGCTACTAACAAATTCCATGTCCTCATTGTGAAGAGGTACTGCTGTGTTTCAGGGACCAACTCACAGGACAATTTGCTTGTTTATCTTTCTTCTTCTATCTTCTAGATTCTAGATTCACCAAAATGTAGAAATTGTGATTTTATTTTGCATAAAGGCTGGAGCAATGTGTATGAACCAGTTGGGCCTTACTAAATTTAACTCAGAGTATTCTGCTTTTCACAATAGTATAATTCAACAGTGCATGTTGTTCTCGTCTCCATAAGTTGAAATATTTGATGGTAGAGCCAATAGTCCAAACAAAAATGACTTTATGAAGATAATTGTATGAAAAAAATCTCAACTTCATACCCCAAATGGAAGAGAATAAACATATACATTTATTTTAATTACAACAAAATATAGACTAGTTTTTATAAAATCCAGTCCCATGTAGATGAGTGTCAGATTCATATATTAATTTAACAGCTATTTACTTTTTGCAATCTATAGATTTCTCAGTATAGTAAAGAGCTGCAGTCATTACACGTTTTGTTAAATTTGTAATGCATGTATGCCTCCTTTTAATCATATTATGACATTACTATTCATAAAATCATTCCTTTTAGAATATAACATTACTCTCTGTTGAAGAATTGATTTCACTGTTTGTTTCAAATTTCATGCTAGTTGCTCTATGAAATGTACAACTGAATGTCATTAAGGTTTTAATAATTGTATATGAACTTGATGAGGTTTGTTCATCTTTCAGAATAGTCTTGTGAATGAATTCCTATGTGTAGAAGCTTCTTCAAGTAATCTAGAGAATGTGGCTCGGGGCAAATAAACTCAATCTCATGCCCATGTTTTTAAAACAGTTCTTACTAGTATTTGAGATAAATCAAAATAAAAATCAACAAGAACATGAAAAGAGGCTAAGCACAATGTTAATGTGGAAATTTAAACCAATCTCATTTTCTAAGTGGCCTTCCATCTTTCACAACTTTTAGCACCATGCAAGATTGCTATTCTTAGAGCCAGATACTGTCGATCTTGTGTGGAAAACTAAAACATTTTTCTAAATGTCTTTAAAGCTGAGGTGGAGAAGAATGACTCTCTCTCTTATTTTTCAGAGGGGTCAGAAGTTGGATCATGGCTATGCTTTCTCCCACTATGTCATTCATTGTTTAGCCAACATAGTTTCCTCTTTTTTCTGGTTTATAGAAATTTATAGATATTTGTTTTCCCAAGAGAGTGGATGGCATGCATAAAGAAATACTTCAGAGAGCATTTTGAAGAAGGAATAAATAGTTTTTAAATTAATTTGGCACTTCTAGAACTCTGGCGATTTGGAATTTTGGTTTTTCCTAATGCTGCCCCATGTTTTGGTAAGAATATACAGCTTTACATTTGCTATTGACTTCACTAATTCATTCCACAGTGAATAAACATTTAATGTTTTAATCAAAATAACAGATACATTGGGCTGGGGATTTAGCTCAGTGGTGCCACCGCCTGCCTTGCAAACTCAAGGACCTTTAAGAGGAGAGAATTTATTCAATTCGAAGTTGGCACAATTCGGTTGCCATTTCTCCGTATACCATCAAATGAGCCTAAAACTTTAGAGAATGAATGGCATCCCTCACTATCTTGGTCATCTGTTGGGTAGAGATAGTGATGTAGGGTCTTCTTGGAAAAGTTTTCTTTTAAAAAAAAATCTGAGTCTTTGCCTAACTTTATCTTGGAATAATGGAATTCTGAGAACCCAGATATATCAGGAAGAAATATCACAATAAACAATAACCATTTTATATATATATATTAACAGGTAAATTCTTTCTCCATGGTCTTATTGAAGCACCAAGAAGTTAAGATGCCTTTCTGAGGGGCAAGGTCTTCCCATTTTGCTGGGGAAGTATCATAAGAAATGATACTTTGAGAAAAATCTTTAAATTATCCACAGCTGTCAATTGCTCTTTCTACTCATTGAACTTTATCCACTTTATTATTTGATATTGTAATATGTCCAGCTTTACACCAGCCAGATAGGTTTCCATAATATAGGCTGGAAACACATCCATAGTTACGTCCTTTGTGCACATTTAAAAAACATTCTGGGGTAATAAGGATAATGACAGCTTCCTAGAAGAATTTGTTTACCAGAGAGTAAATGGGAAACAAAATTACCTAATATTGCTACACACACACACACACACACACACACACACACACGGCATGCCTCTTTTCCCTGTTCTGGAGCTCTATTAAAATGTAATATTTTCTCTGGCTTTCAGACTACTTTGTAAATTGTTTCTGAGCCACCTGTTTTGAGATTTTTTTAATTTCACTATTTAATATTGGTAATTTGAAGTGGAGTTTCCTACATTCCAATATAGGGCTATGAATCAATTCACTAGTTTCTGTTACATCTTTGTGAAGTTGACTGATAAGATAGAGCAATTTCCACAGCCTGGTTTCATTATTTTATTATTTGAAGCATATTCATTAGAGGTGTATCACAACACCACTTTTCACTTTCTCCTAATTAGAGAAACCATCCAGGAGTGGTAATAACAGTTGCAAAAGACAAAGGGGGCCATGCTAGCAATTAAAAGCATTATATTTGAGCCTTGAAACTGATTAGATATGTCATGCTTGGAAGAGGTATCCCTAGCAGTCTTTTTGAGTGGATGCTTATTCAGGGAGGAAGTTGGGGAGATACAAATCAGCATCTCATATTTATAAGTACTTTTATTTCTACATATTTACTTTGAAGGTCCTTTCTTTTTCAAATGTGGATATATCTGTAAAAGGAGATAGAGACTGAGAGTGCTGTGTACTTACTAGTCTGCCTGTTTAACACAGGTGAGGAGATGCCCAGGCCTCCTTTATTGAATAGGAACTCTTCCTTCCATCAGGACTTTAACGATTCCTTGGCTTCTCTGTGCCTGAAAGGAGAGCAGTTAGTTGCAACTTTCTCAGAGGAGAATCAGGGAGGATGTGGTCCCGCCCATCTGAGGGGACTGCGGTGGTATCATAATGCAGTCTGCGTGGCAGAGAGCTAAGCATTCCCTGTTGCATTGTGAAAGTGATCTAGCAGGTGATTCCTCTGAGGTCAAGCTGGGATGAGACAGGGAGAATATGAAGGTAATCTCACTTCTCTGAGTGGCTAAACCTCCTCCTGTTTCCCACCCAATGTCATGTTGCCCAAACATGACCGAGTCCTACATAGCCAAGACTAACCTGACCTCAACCTCTCCATGGAGGGCAGAGTGACTTCAACTCCACCTCTACTAATGATAAATTGATACCTATCTCTAAAATCTTCATAAAACAAACCAAAAAACCTAGGATGTTTGTAATGACTTATTGACTTTTCAGATTGTTCTTTAAGCTGTTTTTTAAACTTTAAAGGCAACACTGATAATGAACGCTTCCAAATGGTAAAACAGAAAATCCCCTTCAAATATAACCGGCCCGTAGAGGAGTGGCTGCAGGAAAAAGGTAACCGTCGTTAAAACTTTCATTTTAAAATCATTTGATTCTAAACCCTCATTTTTAAAGCCTGCAAATAAATGCTCCTTAAATGATAATCGCCTGCTGCATAAATGACTGTTTTAATTTTCATTATAATTTGTGTCAGCCTCCACCTGCCATATGCTGATAAATCATGCTATAATACATTGCCATTAAAATACAGTTAAAGGGACTAACATCTAGCCCACTATCAGTGTGACAACCACAAACAAGAAATTCTAGGAATGTCTAAAAAAGAAATGTATTATGGCAATTTAACTGCTGCATGACATTATTTGTTAATTTGTTTTAAATTACTTCTTATACCAGAGCTTTCTAAAAGAAACTCAAAAGTACTTTTTAAACTTACATCTTGAGGCTGTTTTGGCTTTTCTGTCTGTGTAGCATGGTTAACTAAAAAAAAAAAAAAAAAAAAAAAAAAAAAA